ACAGACAGGATGGACATCTGAAACATGATGCATCACTAATAACATGTTGATTAAAACACCACAGAGTAAATGGTAATCAGCTCGCACTTGTCTGGCAGTCAGCAGCAGCTGAGTTTGTTGCAGGTTTCGGTTATCAATCATACATGTGTTTTTCTCTGCGTGAGAAAGAGGTGGTGTGGTGTGGGCATGTGAAAAGGGTCCATTGCTTTAGCCCTATTTTTGCAAGACTATGCAATACTGTGTATAAACCTAAAACATATTGCAACTGTGCCCACAATTTGGAGAAGTCATATAAACACAAAAAAGGCTTTTGCAACACCACACCATCCTTTCAAATCAAAATCATCTATGTCTTAACTATTTTCTGTAAAACATCATGAGATTTGTAACTCATTGTCAATTATTCATCATCACATAACAGAAACCCTGAAGATATGGGATTTGAGAAGTCTATTATATTACAGGAGTTGTCATTAGCTTCAATTTGATGTTGTTTAACTAACTTATTAACTTTTTTTTTCTCACCACTCACCAAGTTGTTTGTTTGGCTTTGCAGGTCAGACTTGATCAATAACAGCTACCTCACTGAAGATCATGTAAAATTAACACATATGAAGCAATAATACAGTGAAGTGATGCATTAAAACATAAATCATTGGGGTCTCTTTCCTCTCCAAGCATAATTCCATTATCAACATGTGTTTTGATTTAATGCATTGTGAGTTATTTATCACATTTATTTTATACTAAACTTCTATGGTATTTTCAGTCCTGCCAGATCCTCCCGTGACCCCATCGCTGCTATTTCTACTGTGTCTTGCAAGACGATTTCAACCCAGAGAGTTTCCTCATAATTTGAGAGGAGAGCAAATGATCCAAACATATTTGTGTGTCTGGCTGAATTTTGAGAAAATGTGTATGAAGTGATGCATAAGACATGTCGAATACATTTTATATAGTGTAGTGTTGCAGCCATTAAAAAAAGCATGGCATCTCATTTCAATGGAAGTTACTTTTTCTTTAAAGGCCCTGACACACCAAACTGACGGTCGGCCGTCGACCAAAGTTGGGCCGTCGGTGAGCGTCTGTTGCCCTAGTTTTTGCGGTGTGTCCCGCACCGTCGGCGGCTTTTTGACTGATTGAACATGTTGAATCGCGGCGGAGCTTGTCAGTGAGAGAGATCACTCCGATCGACTGTTCAGGTCCCTGTAGCGAGTGAATCTGCCTGTAGTGAAACCGGGGCTAACCGGTGCTTCCTCCTCAGACTCCACTTCACTCAGCTGCCCGACAGATCTGCTGCTTCTTCCCACTTTAACCTGAATAACAAACCGGGGCTAGCTGGGAGCGGCTAGCGGAGCATTAGCCAGTTAGTTTCCGCTAGCCTCCGAGCAAGCCCCAGCTCTCTGTTGGAATCCAAACGGAGAGCCGGGGCTAGCTGGGAGCAGCTAGAGGAGCACTGAGCCCTGATTTGTTATTCAGGTTAAAGTGTGAAGAAGCAGCGGGTTTATCGGGCAGCTGAGTGAAGTGGAGCCTGCGGAGGAAACACCGGGACCGTCTGGATGTAATAGTCGGTGGAGGTGCTGCGGTGCTCGGCTGCACAGATAGGAAACCCCTCAGCTGACAGGATGTACCACTCTCTCACTCCACTCTCTCTCACGCAGGCGCAGAACGTACGTGCCACTTGGCCATTGGATGTAGTCCGTGTAGTGTGTTCAAATGCAAGTTAAGTTATAAAAACGTGCCTTTTTGCCTTTTATACCTTGAGAACAAGGCCACAGCCAGGGAACCAAATCTGCTGAGGGGACTTGTGTCTCACTGGGTAAATGTCTGGCTAATTACAGTAACTGCATGTAACTTAACCCTATAGGCCCCTAGGGGTTTTGGGGGTATTTTTACTGCCTTTACTTTTTTTTTTTCTTTTTTTTTTAAAGATATTTTTGTCGGGCATTTCTAGCCTTTAATGGATAGGACAGAGAAGCGTGAAGGGGGGAGAGAGAGAGGGAGTGACATGCAGCAAAGGGCCACAGGCTGGAGTCCAACCCAGGCCGCTGCGGCAACAGCCTTGTATATGGGGCGCCTGCTCTACCACTAAGCCACCGACGCCCCGCTGCCTTTACTTTTAAACTCATATCACAGTCACAGGCTACATACACATGCTATATCTTGTTTTGTTTTGTTTTTTTCAGGACAATCTGGGCTAACCAGATTTGCCTTCATTTCATGTCCTTCCAAGTGCCTGTATTTTATATTAATATTTATATCAATGAAAAAAACAAATCTGTGTTACTAAGTTCTTACATTTTTACATGTATCTCACCATAGCAAGTTGGAAGTTGACATATTCTACCATATATGAAGGGGGGAGACTCTCTGGAATCTGGCAATATAAGAACCATGATGGTGGGACATTCTGTCACTTCACAGTTGTCCAAAACATGTGGTTTGTGCCAGGCGGACATGATTGCCAGTATTTTTTCATTATTGCAAGAAATTCCATTGACTCATTCACAAGTCAAAAATGTGTTTTATCTGAAAGAAACATGCAATATTTACATCTAAGATCATAGAAAAATAGTCAACCAGGTGCAATGATGTCCTCCAAGATAACATTTGCCACTTTGTTTGCAGTAAACAAAGTTTGTTGTTGTTTTTCAGTTTCAGTTATATATTGGGGGGACATTTTGGGCTGGGGGGGGGGGGGCATGTCCCCCTCAATGTATATGGTGACTATGGCCCTGTCACACATGCATAATTAGGCTACAGTTGTCTGGGTGCGCAAAGGTGAAGTGCGCTTGTCTTGTCATACAAAGTTTGACGAGTGTCGACTGGACAATATGGAGATATTTGCATCTTGAAAGCTGGACTACAAATGTGGATAGACAGGGAGAAACACACGCAAGCCTAAGACTTGGTAAGATACGATATTCCTCACTATATGAAGTGACTGATAACAAGATGGATTGTAAAGAAATTTGTCAGGTTTTTATTTTGTAGACAATCAATCTGTATTTATCGCATGATGGGATGACAGCACGATGTGTGTGGTATCACTGGAAAGCTCTAGTCCTGCACTTTCATGTGATATGTGTGGCATTTCTGTGCGAGCCTGCATTCGCGAGTAATCCATCCAAGAGTAATGTGTGTGCAAAGCTGCATGAAAGCTCTGTTATTCATGACTTTAGTGTAACTTTATCATTTTTTTCACTGTGAAAACAATGGACTACCGACAAGTTGGTCTTGTCTGAAAGCTGTTTCACGTGATGAGTGTGGCTTCTCGCTATGACGCATGGTCACGGAGAAAATCAATAGAGAAGAGCAGGTGTGAATTTGGACGCACTATGCGTCGTTTGGGCCCATAGGGTTAACTATGATAACTAATATTGCCCAGATATCCAAAATGACCTGGCCCAGCATCAGCCAAAACTCATCACGCCAGTTGAAAGAAGTCAGGTTGCAACTGATTGCCCAACTCAGCTGAGACACGGGATGAATGATGCCCCAGAATTGGACCAAATAAACTGTCCCAGCTTCAGCTACCAACACTGCCAACACAAATAAGTTGAGCAGCATCCGGTTGCCCGACTCAGCTGAGACTCAGGTCAATGAAGCCCCAGAATGGGACAAAATATACTGTCCCAATTCTGGCTGCCGACACTGCAATCACTTGGCCATCATCAAAAATGACCTGGCCCAGTATCAACGCCAGAGGAAATAAGTTGGGCCACCTAAAGTTGCCCGACTCGACTGCGACTCAGGATGAATGATGCCCCAGAATTGGACCAAATAACTGTCCCGATTCCAGCTGTCAACACTGCCATCACTGGGCTGTTATAAAAATGACCCTGCCCATCATCAGTCCAAACTCGATACGCTGAAAGAGAAGAAGTAGAAGCAACTTGGGCCACGTGCAGTTGCCTGACTTGGCTGAGACTCAGGATGAATGACGCCTCAGAATTGAATCAAACAAACTGTCCCAATTCTGGCTGCTGACACTACCATCACTGAGTGATCATTAAAAATGACCTGGCCCAGCATCAGCCCAAACTTATCATGCCAGAAGAAATAAGTCGGGCCACCTAAAGTTGCCTGACTCGGCTGCGACATGGGATGAATGACGCCCCAGAATCAGGGCAAATAACAGTCCCGATTACAGCTGCTGACACTGCCATCACTGGGCGATCATCAAAAATGACCTGGCCCAGCATCAGCCCAAACTTATCATGCCAGAAGAAATAAGTCGGGCCGCGTCTGATTGCCCAACTCTGCTGAGACTCAGGATGAATGATGCTCCAGAATCAAACCAAATAAACTGTCCTGATTTCGGCTGCCAACACTGCTGTTACTGGGCTACTATAAAAATGACCTGGCCCAGCATCTGCCAAAACTCGATATGCTGGAAGAAGTAAGTTGGGCCGCGTGCAGTTGCCTGACTTGGCTGAGACTCAGGATGAATGATGTCTCAGGATCGAACCAAATCAACTGGCCTGATTTCGGCTGCTGACACTACCATCACTGGTTACTGATGGTTAATTGATTAGCAATTGCAACTTGTACCATTTTCACCAAAAATGTTTGTTTTCGACGCAATGAATGTGACTTTTTGGCAAAATACTATTTATTTCCACAAATACAGCTCCAGTGCAAAATGGCATATTTGAATACCAATATATTATAGAAATACTGCATTGCTTGAGAATACTAAATTAAGGTATGAGTTTCATGTTGGAGTCTAAAATGAGGTAAGTGCTTTGACTTATTAATTGACTGACTGCTAGAATGTGTAATCTGCTCCTGCCTGGGCACAAACTGTAGAATAAAAAAAAAAAAAAAACAAAGCCCACATCTTGCGCAAACCACAGTGCATTTTAAGTAATAACTGCCACTTCTAGTGTAGATTAATTTGTCAACGAGTCTTTGGTAAGCAGTATGCCATATTAGGATGAAAGTTAGTTGGCATGACCTATATAAGTTGGAACACCTCTCACTTTGTCTCGGTCTGCTGCCACCATCCAGTAACCAACCATGATCCTCCAGGCTGCTGTGCTCAGTGTCCTCTTTTGCTTTGTGCACAGTTTTACTATACCGGTAAGCATCTGCACACACTTTACATTAATACGAACAGACAGACACTTACTTTCTCAATGATTGCATGAATACTTGCAGTTTTCTGTATAGCCCAAAATTCAGTTTTTCTTCAATGACATACAATGATCTTGATATTGACTGACTGCTCACAGAAAAGGGGGGCTTTTGTATTTAATTGTTGGGAGACTGACATGGAAACTGTTTCTTAGCAGAGATAATTTGGCTAATTGCAAAAAGCAAAATTTGATGCTGGCATTTTGCTCTCTGCCTTAAAAGATGTATTTCTGAATTTTGAAAACAGAAATATTCATTTTTCAAAGTTTTTGCCATGCCCCACTGCTTTCCCTTGTATGCTGTCTCTACAGGACCAAACACAGTAGTCATAAACTGAAATCAAATTTCTGATGGAACTTCACTGTCTGAATAGAAGCAAATTTTCACATTTTTAATTCAAGGGGTCCATATCCATTCAACCATATTTTTACTGTGTCTTATTACAGGGGTTTTTTGAAAAGAGTGAGGAGTACTCTGGTGAGACATGGCTGCTTTTCAGACTGTAAAATTCTGTAAATATATAGTCGTACATCATGTAACTGATACATAAATACATGAACTTTTTCTATTCCACAGGCAACAACATTGATGATGACGAATTCAGTGTCTTCTCGCTGTTAGAGAAGGCCAATGTTGATGTTGGTATGTTCATCTCCACTGCAACTGCTTTATTCAGTCCCTCTGGTGAAATTATCATTCAGCGCAAATGTACTGTATTGATAATCTAAACTTAAATACAGAACAAAATAATTCATTAAAACATTAGAAATAATACATAAAGCTGGCGTTACAGTTCAACTGTCTTGATCATCATGTCATTTCCCAGGAAAGAACATCGATGAACCTCTGGTGTTAGGAGACATAGCAGTGCCAGACGGTTTCCAGAACGCTGATCTCTGCACAGCACGAGACTGCCTGTGGCCTAAAGCCACCGATGGCAACGTCTACGTACCCTACCGCATCTCCAACCAATTCTGTAAGTACTGAAGTCTGGGCTTTCATTTTGTTTTTTATTTGTGTTAGCAGTGCTAATTGGCTGGTAGGAGCAGTAAATAGTTGCCTAGTTGCAGAAGGTGTCATAGTAGTAGCAATAGCAGTAGCAGTTGCAGATCTAGTGGTAAGAGTATGATAATAAATGTTTTTGTTTTTACTGTCAAGCCCGAAGAGAGAGACGTGCCATCATCCAAGGCCTGCGGTCATTTGCTGAGTCCACCTGCATCCGCTTCACTCCCTTGGACAGACAGGAGGACTTCCTGGAGATTCAGTCACGCTCAGGGTACGGACCACACAATGTACATCCCACAAGAGCATGCATGAATACACTCAAGAGTCAAAGTGTTATTTACTTCTCTCTTTCAGGTGTTATTCATATGTTGGGCGTCGTGGTAGAGGCCAGGTAGTGTCTCTGATGCGCCAGGGCTGTATTTTCCTGGGGATCATCCAACATGAGCTGCTCCACGCCCTGGGCTTCAACCATGAGCAGACCCGGTCCGACAGAGACGAACACGTTCGCATCATACGGGAAAATATCATTCCTGGTTGGTCCAGTTACAGACTTTCATTATGTAGAATACAGAGGAAACCTTTGTAATGCTTTTACAGAAGATATAAACAACCAAAATGGGGTCTTCCACTTAAAGGAATGATTCATCTGCAAAATGACCATCTGAATATCAATGACTTATGGTGTTATCTCGAATTTTGTTTAGGAAACTTTTTTGAATGCCTGCACAGTTAAAGGAGAGTTCACCTGAGGCAAACACTCTTGATGAGTTGGGGTCATTGGGGTCCACATTTAATATCAGCAAAACTATATCAAAACATCAGTTTACAAACTCTCACACAATTAGTGCAGTATAATGCAAGTCGCATTTATCCAGTCTTACATTCAGTAGTTTCCAAACACATACATTTTCGGTAAAACACTGTATAAAACTCGTCAGAACAAAAAGTCTCGTGTTTAAACTACGCTCAAGTGAAGCTCATACACATGTGCATGCTCAGGTACGCTCGGGGTGCACTACTCGAAGGTGAAAGTGTTTTATTTTTTATTTTATATACTTTATTAATCCCCCTGAGGGGAAATTCAATTTTATAGTGTAATGTCTAAGACTAAGAATTTTCCTAGTCGACCAATAGTCGTCATTTAGAGCCATTAGTCGACTAGGTGGCTGCATGTTTACGATATTAAATTCTGTAAATCATTAAATGATATATTTTGGTGGTTTGAGTTGAAGGTGTGAGAAAGAATAGTATCAGTAACATTGTTAACACTGTGCTACATTACAGAGAAATACAAAACCGTACTAATGAACCCTCATTAATATAGGCCTATATTTTATCTACAAGTGCACGTCACACACTGAGCGAGCCGCCTGTTAATGACGCTGTCGGCAAAGCAGTAATGATTGTGCTAAGTGGCTAATGGGCATGTAGCTACTTACATGTTTCAGATGACACGTCATGTTTGTAGTTGACGAATGAAGATGGGTTTGGCTCTGGGTAGCCCTGCACTAAAATGATCAACTTTTCTGTATTCATCAGACTGAATATTTACAGAAGAAGTGAAAGATATCTGTCAGCTGTGATTGCTTAATTTACCGCATGGTCCAGTCATATAGGTTTTGATTTATTTTGACAAGGTGCAGCTACTGATAGAGTTTCACTTTTTTTTTCTCTGACTAAGCAACTAATGAAATCTTGCCGACCAATAAGCTATCTGGTCAACTAGCGTTTGGTAACTATTAAGGTGCAGCCCTTCATGCAAAAAAAACAAAGTTTTCTTCATAAATTCAAAGTAACACGCAATGAACAACTGATATACAAATCATCATTTTTTGGGTGAAGTATTCTTTTAATACAACTGACCTCAAGTAAAAAAATGTTTAGTATAGAAACAGATAAAAAATAAAAATATGACTTGACTTTACCAGATCATTTTAGGAGGTATACAGTAGCTATGGGTGTGAATTAGACTGAGCAACCATATGTGCAGAAACAGCATAGTTTTGCACAGATATAACTATTCACTGCACTTTTCAGGTATTTTGACTGTCGAACTGTGATAAAACAGAGACAACATTTGATTGAGCTGTGTGATCCCCTGCAGGGCTTGAATACAATTTTGAGAAGTTTGATACAAGGAACCTTGGCACTCCCTACGACTACAACTCTGTCATGCACTATCCAAGGTAGTGTCTCAGTTCACTCACTGAACTTAATAATAACATACTATGTTACTGTGCATTTATGACATTATGTAATAGCCTTTTTAACACATCTAGGCATTTTTACAGGTTGGCTTCACATTATTTCCTTCTGCCCTAAAACAATACACACAACACTGATAATGTTGACCTGTGCCTAGACAATGGTTTACCTGTAACAGCTTAATAAGGTGTTCCATATCAGATTAAATGTTTTCAGATTGTCGTTGAGTTCCTCTGCCCCCAAGTGGCCAAAGACTCTAAAATGCAGCTTTAAGCTTGCAGGCTGTCCATATTTCAGCTGTCAGTGGTCACTCTACAGTACAGGTGTACAGTTTAAACCTCTCATCACTGCTGTGTATATGCACCATAGGTATGCCTTCTCCAGGAACAGACAGCCAACCATCGTTCCCATTCCTGATGAAAATGTGTCCATTGGTAGGGCCACCCAGATGAATCCTACTGACATCCTTCGGGTGAACCGCCTTTATAACTGCAGTAAGTACCTTTTTAAGAACACATTCTCACCTGTCCATCTCCCTACCTACCTGCCTACCCCCTACTAGCAGTACTCTCTCATACCTACTGACAGAAGTGACATTATAAAGGTCTTTGCACACCAAAACTGTATTTTTCTTACGTCACACATTTAAAAATCTTACACTGTGTCAGTCATGTTTACACACTGACTCTGAAACTTTTGTCTGTCATTAAAGTTGGATTTCCTCATTTACTCGCATCCCTCAAAACAGTTGTTTGACCAAAAAGCAGTGAAGAAAATGTGGCGTAACGTATGAGACATACATCCACAAGAAGAGAAAAGAACAGGGTAGAAGTGGACAGGGAGCCAGGAAGCAATACCTTTCTTGCAATCTTCCTCAACAAAGAGAAGTTACATTTGGCCATCCAGAAATGCACAACAGCAAAGATGATGCTTGTAGCAGAGTGCAATTTAATGGCCGCACAGTGTATCATTTCATAACACTGGTAACCGCAGTGCCAAATGCAAGACGGCGCCAGAGACTAGCTACAGCCAGGGAGGTACCTCAAGAGGAGAGACGCAGGGAGCAAACGTGTGTTTAAATTTTGCCTCGTACTGCAAATATTTGCAACAAATAGAACAACACAACACATCAAGGTTTCTGTGTGTAATGGTTTTTACTGGATGATAGATTTTTAAAAAGCCTTGTTTCCACACAGTTTTGTTTAATGTTTGCATTTCCATACAGACTGAATCACAATGTGCATCTACAATAACTTCTGGATAGAAAACCCTTGTGTAACATGCATTAAAATCAAACGGCCCCATGCAAACGCTGCCTCAATTAGTTTCCCTTTAGCTACCTACAAAAAGGCTCGCAAAAAATCCATATCAGTTGCAGTGTACACTTTATTTAGAATATTTTCACTGCTTTACCTTGCTGTCAGGCAGCCTTTTCCATTTGAGAACTGAAGCTGTTATATCAAAGCCACCAAACTCCACTGACAAAAGTGTAATTTTACTAAGCAGAACAGTGACCTGCTGGTCTACTGCGGCTTCGATTGGTTAGTGTCTAAGGTAAAGCAGAGAAAATATTTAAATATAGTGTACACTTACACTGATACTGAATGTTTTGGGTGGGTCTTTTTAGGTGGTTTAAATATGCTCTACTGTGGCCTCATCCATGGCAGTACATTGCTTAGCTTATTTCTAAGTGAAATAATCTAAAGTATTAAAACAGAATGTTTCTAAGTATAAATAGAGCTGAGTTGCATTCATTAGTTTGCTAACTTGTTTATATGCTAGTTTCCTGTGGCACTGTGCGCACAGTCTGTCTGGAATCTGCTGCAAAAGTTACATTTTTTAAGTAAATAGTTCAAGTAAATTTTGGTCTGAGGAAATAAAAAATGTAAGCAGGCGTTTTGCAAACACAAATAAGATCATGGAGGTACCAAAGGAATGAACAGACTTGGAGTTGACTCACATACGTACACAGAGCTATTTGGAAACAAGGTGTTAAGTCAAATACTGCATATGTTCATGTACATTGTAGCTGCACCATAAAAAAAAAATCAAGCAGCATTTACAGATTTTGCCGTCTTTTTTAATTCATGTCAGGTACCACCGCTTCCGGACGCCGCCTGAAACCCATGAAAAGAAACCATTTCTTCTAAATCAAAGTAAGTGGGTTGTGGGTTTGGCTGTTTTTCAGAACTTGGTATGCACACACTATCATCAAAGTGATGTAATGTTTTAGCTGAACTTAACTGTACATTCTGTCTCTTAGCTTAAATGTACTGATTCATTCTTTTAATCATACATGTTGTTGTATTTCTGGCATGTTGCTGAATCAAGATAATGACAGATCCAGACAGGAAACATAGTCAACACACCTGTTACTCTAAAACTTTAAATGTGTTACTGCTTGTGCATGCTCATCTGTGTGTCGTGATATTCATTCAATATATTTCTGACAAATTCCCTCTTTTTCCAACAGGAAATCAAGAGGAAATGAGGCAGATTGATGCAGCTTTTCATCAACAAGCAAAACCAAAAATGCATCTTGCGCTTAATGAATGAGATTTAATTCATAATTTGACTGAATGAGCTCTTGCGCCATCCTAATAAGTAGAGAGATGTACCGATACCACTTTTTCCTTCCCGATACCGATTCCAATCCCTGAACCTTAGGTATCTGCCGATACCGAGTACCAATCCGATACCAGCGTGTAAAATAAAAATGGATGGGATATGAATTGTTGTATGTCTCATCTCCTAAAACTCTATGTAAAATATCAAGAAATAAATACATAATAGTCGAATGAATGCCATAAAAACTTTTTTTATTATCATTATTATTATTATTATCCAGTGTTGACACAGATCAAGACACAGGTTAAAGTGCAGCCACACAATTTGGTAAAAAAGACATTTTAAAGGCTACAGTAGAATGCTTTTTAAGTTCCGCTCTGTTTCCGTTTTGTTTGCCTGTAGCGTTTGTATGCGTAATGATGTGAGGTGTTACGTGGTATCGGATTGGTCATAGGCTGTACTCGCCGATACCAATACCACATTTTAGGCAGTATCGGAGGCATTTCCGATACTGGTATTGGCATCGGTACAACTCTACTAATGAGTAATGAAAAGTGTCCAATGACATGATCACACATTCACACATACATGAATAACTGCTTATGAGCTTGCCTGAATATCAATAAAGAATAAAAATGCGTATCAGCAAATCTTAACCTGAGCCTGCGTCTGTTTGTGACATATTTTGACCTGAAAAGAAATAAGAGTGTCATTCCAGTGTAACCATGACAAAAGATTTTTATCTTTTATATAGCAGCAGAACTCAATATTCACATTTTCAGTGATTCTCGCATTGCTGGCCTTCATGAACAGAGCCCAGTGAAGCTGCTTCATAAACACATACAGGTGATAAAACGTAGCACATACTGTAGTTGATAAGCCTGTTTATGGCCTTGGTCTGAATGCCAGACTAAGCACGTACACATGTCCACTCTAAAACACCCCAATAGGAACAAGTCACCTTTTAATTCTACAAAGATGTAAGGTGGACAAAATAAATACAACTCTGTAATATGTTACTATCCCATATCCCATGTCATTCACACATTTGGCCATTTGTTATCATTTTGTAAAAGGGAAGTGTTCCTTTTATTTCGTCCATCCTTATTTTGTACATGAGGTGGACAAAATGACAGAGGGTGTGTTACATTACACTGCACAGGTGCTGCTTTTGTTGTTGACACCTCTGCATGTGTGAGATGTCATATTCTAACCTCGTCTTTATAATCAAAACTCATAAATATGGTTTCATTTCTAATTTACTAAAACAGCAGAGGTCAACTGACACTCATCACACTTTTTAGCAACCCTGTGTTAAATGAATACAGGCCATGAAACAGTGACATTTTCACATTAATTCATATGTTTCTGTCCCTGTATAGTGGTGAATGCATCAAGTGTCCTTTTTCCCACCCACAGTGGTATTGAGATGTTTCTGTCTATACACGTGTTCAAACCATATGTGACTGATAAGCCTGTGAGTTTAGCTGATTCTGAGCTTTCTTAGTACCCAGTTAATCCATATTTGGGCTCACTGATGCAGTTGAACGTATATAAAAACCTGGAGTGAAACCTCAGCTGCACAAGTCCACACAGAGGATCCAAGGTGAGTTCAGCTGCAGATGTCTGCAGCACAGTGTGATGGAGAAGTGTGCACGCTCTTTCAGCTGTCTTTTTTGGGGGGTTCAAACACTGTGTTTCCTCTGAGTTGAAGCTGATTCGTGTCTGTGTCCTGCAGATCTGCTGGTATGGCTCGCATGTCTGTTTTCAGGTTCTCAGCTCTGGCTCTGCTGCTGCTGCTGTCTGCCTGCTGTTGGGCTGACAATGAGGTAGGATCATAGTGGAAGAGAAACAGTTGCCAATGGAGGCAGAATGATTACTGGACATTTGCCATGTTGCATCATGTGGCACTTCCAGATGTTAAAAAATACCTGTTAAGCCTCAACTGCCACAGTCACAAACAGGAAACGACTCCTGTCTCACATATGAAGCTGCTCAACTTCTTCACATTTACATTATTTTTTTTTTTTTTTTTTAAGTTTTTATGCTTTATTTTAGCAGTATTTTGATAATGAACATGTGTCTTATAACTCCCTTATATAACAGTTTGAATATGAACATCCCACTTTGAGACACAGTATTTGGTTAACTGGCCAGAAAGTTCTTCTGTTAACTTTTAGCTGAAATTTTAACTCATGTTTTTCTCTCTGTTTCTCATATGTTTGTTTTCCCTCCTCTAATCCCATGCTGAACCTGCAGGCAGGTATGTAATGTATTCTAACAGTCAGACCTGATGTACTGACGTGCACAGTATTGTAACAAGTTTATTTTCACACAAAGTGAAATTGTGTTGATGTCACTGTGCAGAGGAGATTGCAGAGGAGGACTTAGGGGATCTGTCTGTCTCTGAACTTCTGGAGAGAGCCAACAGTAATCTGCGTGAGTGTGAGCTGCTGCAGTCACCATGTCTCCCATGAAAACTGCTGATATGTCACTATTGTCTCTTCTATTAGTAGCAGTTCAGCTGGTTTCTGAGTTGCTGTATGATGTGTTTCAGTCCGTTCTGATGATGGTCCCATCCTGACTGAGGGAGACGTCGTCATCGACAGCGAGACCGAGAGAAACGCCGACCCCTGCACCAGCCGTGGCTGCAAGTGGGGCAAATACACTGACGGAAAGGTCTACATTCCTTATTACATCGCCAGTCACTTCTGTAAGTGTCACACAGACGTCCAAATATGCTCTGTCCATATACAGTAGGCTTTCATTTTTAATGCAGCCTGTTGTAGCAGCAACTTTGACAAAAGGTTCAAGAGGGAGAGTGACCAGAGAGCTAACTGTTCATACACCAGAATCTAACAGACAGGGGCCTGTTTGATGCTCTGATGATATTAAACTCATTAATAGCAGCAGTCAGGTCCCCTGGAGTCACAACATGAATGACTAAAGCTGAAACAGATGTAAGACAAAAACAACAGTCAGCAAAAGGTCAAATCCAACACAGTAAGGATTCACTCAACCAATTAATTACAAACCACTGAGTCAGTCAAGACGCTTTCACTCATCAGTTATTTACTACCTCCTCTGCAGCAACACAACAAGTCTCACAAGCTGTCAGAAACTCCTCTAAACTGAACTGGATTCAGACCAACATCAGTTTTCCTTGTGCCGTGTCTTGGTAAAAAGCTAACTGTTATGTGGTGTGGTCCTGCCAGCCTCCCGTGAGAAGGCCATCATCACCCGTGGACTGGAGTCTTTCTCTTCCTTCTCCTGCATCCGCTTCAGGCCCAGCAGGAGCAGCGACCGCGACTGGCTGAGCATCGAGTCCAAGGACGGGTAAGAGAGAGATGTTACACAATGAGTTTGAGTCGGAAGCTTTTCTCAGACTTCTGTGTTCTTCAACTCGTCTCTGATCCTGTCCAGGTGCTACTCCTACGTCGGCCGTCGTGGTGGTAAGCAGGTGGTGTCTCTGGCCCGTCGTGGATGCCTCTACCATGGAACCGTCCAGCACGAGCTGCTCCACGCTCTGGGCTTCAACCACGAACAGACCCGCAGTGACAGGGACAACCACATCAAAGTCCTGCTGCACAACGTTCAGTCTGGTAATGGAGCTGTTTATTATTCAGAGTGGAGTGTTAGAGAGGAGACCCAGGAAACTGTAGATGAGTCTATTCAGATAAGAGACACTGATATGATTTGTTTTCCTAAAAACATGCAGACCTGAAGTTTAATATTTAATGGATAAACCTTATGAACAAATACACTGAACATACAACCTTACAGACAGACAAGATTGTATCAGACAAAACAGAAGCTCATTGTGTGACTGCAGTTTTCCAAATATAAAACCATTAGATGTAGACTGGATTTTCTCCAGCAGATGGACTCTTTTATGTCCAGAGTCAAAGTGAATTCAAGCCAAACAAATGTCACTTTAAACTAATGCTATTCTTGTTTTTGTTTTTAGGAATGGAGCACAACTTCAGGAAGATCGCCACCCTGAACCAGGGCACTCCCTACGATTACAACTCTGTCATGCAGTACCACAAGTGAGAACAACTGGCTTCACTTCAGCCCTGCTCTGTGTCATCTTATGTGTGTGTGTTGTGTGTGGAGGAAGTGCTGTGGTTCAGCCTAACTGCTGTGTGTCCTCTTGTAGGTACGCCTTCTCCAAGAACAACCAGCCCACCATGCTCCCCATCCCTAACAACAATGTGTCCTTTGGCAACGCTAAGGAGATGAGTCGCAACGACATCGCCAGGCTCAACACACTCTACGGCTGCTGTGAGTGTCCACATGAACACATTATGAATATATACACACACACATGCTGCCTGTTACACTCAGTTTGACCTAACCCACCTGTGTGCTGTTGACTGTTACAGAGGAAGCCCGTTCAGATGTGCTGACAGACAGATCAGAGGGAAGACTGAACAACAGAAGCTGCGGACTTCAACTCATCAGCACACCAGTCATGATCAAACTATAAAGTTACTCTGAGTGAAATAAAAAACTGATTTCCCTGACTCATTCCCTTCTCAAGCCACTTTGAAAGCTCCATACATAACTGAATAACAGTGTGAAAATTTTCTGCTCAAACAAACCTCACACAAATATTTATAGTTTCTGGGAATCTGGTAGTTTCATTAAGCAAATGCAGATGAATTCTGAATATTGAGTGACTTTGTCTTATGTGTTGGTAAATTTATTTACCTTTACATTTTCTGAGGATATAGATCTACAGTAGATTACTACTACTTTTACACATGGACTACAACTTTCTTTTAGGATTTGGGGAGGTGAAATAGCTTTAAAGTTACACACTGGTTTTGTCAGTAGCTGTCCCTCCCCATATCACCACATTTCCTATAAAAAATTACTACAACTGACCTTTTGCTAAGCCCCGCCCCTTTGTAATGATCTGACAAGCTGTCAGAGTAAGCATGGTATCCACACTGTAACTAACTGCACTCCCTGACGAAGAAATATAATCATATTTTTGGAAAAATCAAAGAGTGATTCCAGAGAGAAGCAGACAGAGGGGTCTACAGTCTGTGTTTGAAGGATATATCCAGGATGTCAAACTGACTCAGCAGCAACAACAGGTTAAAAAGACAAAGATAGTTAGAAGCTAAAGCCGAACTATAGGCTACAGATCACAGTGTAAAAGTGAACCACCACATCACTGCTGATCGCCACACAAGACAATGAATATAAAGGGAAACTTTGCTGATATTGACCCAGTTGTGTGGCATCGCAGTGTGTGCAGATGAACAGTGTTTGGATTCACCCCCGTGCTGCTGCCAGCAACCCGACCTCTGTTCATCTACGCACACTGCGATGACACACAGCTGGTTGAATATCAGCAAAGTTTCCCAGCTTCCCTTCACTGGTTCCTGTACAGCAGGGTCGCTCTTTGTTTCACTATTATAATCATTAAAAAGCAAAAGCAGCACGTGTATACATTCAGTAGGCTATATCTTCAGTAGCTAGCTAGCTAACCCTACACTTTTCAGGGTTTGATTTTGGTTTTGGAACAGGGAAGAAATGTATATCTTTTTCCAACCTCTCCAGGTAACGAGTATCATTAATACATGACGTGCCCCAGGCACAACATTTAGCTCCAAATCCACAAAACCAGCCTGAAAATGAAGGAAATCTGAAACGACTGCATTAGAGTCAATGGAGCACAGCTGTGTTGTTGTCGGACCCTGGTCGGAGCTGGCCCGATGCTACATTATGATTGGTCAGTCTGCGTTCAGATGTGAGACTTAGTGAAAGGTCAATTATCAGACTTGTTGACATTTTTAGAAGAAATGTGTTTTTACAATACAAAACTGTAATACTGATAAAGAATATTATTGAAACTATTACCATCTTTATGTTATTGATTTAAGTTCTATTCACTCAGGATATCAGTGCTTTGAACATTTTAATACTAATAAAAGTAATGCTATCAGACATATATTGGTTTAAATATGTTGCACAGTGTTACAATGACTTACTATAAGGTAGTATTTCTTTATGCTTCCAATTTCAGCAGGTAACTACTGAAACCAATATAGCAGATTAATACAAAATTTGGTCAGACATATTTTTGTAGTGTCATGATCATGTTCATTTATTTTAGTGCTAAAGTAAGAAACTAAATATGTATTAATCTGGGTATTGATATCAGCAGTATTATCAGTGCTCTGTGTAGAGAGTTGTAGTTATTGACAGCCTCCACTGGAGGGCGTCCCTATCCTCATGATGACACAGAAAGGTTTCAGTCTCTATCAGTTTAACAGTAAAAATGCTTTCACGTTAATATTAACAATACATGTAACTTGAACAGTATTTCTAACAGTATTAAAGTATCAATATGCCCATCTTTGAAAATGGCCTTTGTCCTACCCTAAATTGTCTAGTGCTTGTTTCTTGGTGAGTTTCTTTTTGGGTCCTCAGTTTGATTGTATTTTGTGGAGCACTTTGTGAATTTTATTTCTGTGGAAGGTGCTATGATGACAATTAAATTTATTATCACTAAATTGTTACTGGAGTGACTGACTGTCTCTGAACGAGTTGAAAACTTCAGCATGGACACATTCAGAAATGAGCACTGCCCTCCAGTGGACACAGTCACAAATTACAATACTCACAGTGAATATGGAGCCAAGAACATTTGGAGAGTTGGGATTGTGTACAAGAACATCTAATTGTGTGCAAGTTTTTAAGCTTGCAAAACAATAGTTGTAAATCACACTTTATAAATGTGAGAAAAAAAAACGTGTGAGAATGTGTAAAAAAGATTTGTAAGTGATTAAAAAATTTAAAAAATGCTCAAAATTCCTACACTGTATGTGTCATCAAAGTTTCAAACATACACACAGTTCAAAGTTACAGAAAAAATCCAGCTGATCACAATCATTTGCCGTTTTAGGGTGGGCACAACTACATGCTGTAACAATTTATTGCAGTCACTGTGTGCATGAGTGCGCTTCAGAGGTGTCGGTAGGTGCATTTTTAAATTTTGGACAGTATCAGGCTCGCTGTTTTCCCCTGTTTCCAGTCTCCAGGCTGTGTTTGTATGTTTTAATGACTTACAATTAAAATCAGACTGCATTTTGAAAGTGGTTAATTCTTAGAGTCATTACAGGAAGCACAGTAAACACAATCTATATCAATACATTAGGATAAATGTTGATATATCATCATATTAGCTGTGGATGGAATGAACGTTTCCCACCACACATTGGCTACATACAGTGGCCTTGTCACAGTTGACTGCTGTGGGTGGGTTTATATTGCCAACAGTGTGTTGAATGTCCCACACTGATAAGGACAGAGGAGTGTGTTTTATGTGACAGATGTTTCAAGCTCAGACTGGTAGATCTACAAGACAACATTTAAGCATTGGGGAGGATACAGTGAAGTTTCTGCTGGGGACAACATACATGAATACAGACAATAGGAGGTTTTTAGAAACACTGATGTTCCCTACGTGTCCCCAGTGCAACCCCTATTAGAAACTGTGGATATCATTAGTATAGTTTTTTATGTATGAATAGTATTTGATATATATTTTCTTTCAATGTGATCTTATATAATACCAACTGGACAAACTCTATTGATAAGGACCATGTAATGATATTAAAGTAATTTAATATAATTCATTTAATTTATAAGAAATAAACCCAAAAGCTCTACTTTAAATCATACTTTTTGCTGCACCAAGACACCGTCATGTCTTTCCTCAAGAAAGGGAAATCAAGGTTTCAAAAAAGAGAATAAAGAAAGGAAAGAGAAAGAATGCAAACTGCCTTTATAACATATATATATATATAAAAATCCCGTTTTACCTCTCCCTCATTAGGGTGTGGTGGTCGTGTGTCTTCCTCAAGCTTTAGTCCTCCACCAGAGGCCCACATGTACATCAAAGGACCAAAGGACGAAGGGTAGGGGGAGCAGAGTAGACTGCTTCTGCATAGGGCCCAGAATTTGCCTACGCCCCGATAACCACCAGAACAAGAAAGCAGAAAAGAACTAACTCTATTGTGCTTCTATATAACAATGAGAGGGCCATCAACCAAAGATAACATGTCTAAAGCCACCAAAATGCAAGTTTGTAGTTTCAGTGTATTGAGAAATCGTTTTGCATGTAGTGTTATAAAAACAAAAACCACTTGGGCCCACAAATGTGTAACTTCTACCAGGGCTAGGTGATATGCACAAAGTAAAATATCATGGTATTTTTGATCAAATACCTCCATATTGATATGCAACAGTATTGCAGGATTGACTACTGGTGCTTTCACAAATACTTACACGAAGACGTATTTGATAGAGTTGTACCGATACCGATACCAGTATCGGAAATGCCTCCAATACTGCCTAAAATGCGGTATCGGGCATCGGCGAGTACAGCCTATGAGCAATCTGATACCACGTAACGCCTCACTTCATTACGCATACGCACGCTACAGGCAAACGAAACCGAAATGGAGCTTAAAAAGCATTCTACTGTAGCCTTTAAAATGTCTTTTTCACCAAATTGTGTGGCTGCACTTTAACTTGTGTCTTGATCTGTGTCAACACTGGATAATAATAATAATAAAAAAGTTTTATGGCATTCATTCTACTATTATGTATTTATCTCTTAATATTTTACATAGAGTTTTAAGAGTTGAGACATACAACAATTCATATCCCATCCATTTTTATTTTACGCGCTGGTATCGGATTGGTACTTGGTATCGGCAGATACCTTAGGTTCAGGGATCGGAATCGGTATCGGGAAGGAAAAAGTGGTATCGGTACATCTCTACTATTTGATAAATAATCATCACTAAAGTGGATATAATGTGTGAGTAAAAACAAAAAATAGAACAGCTGGAACAGTCCGGTACAAAAATTACATCACATTACTATAATGCAGCCTTAATAGCCAAATAAAGACAACACCGAGTGTATAACGATATCCAAAATCTTAGACAATCTTAGGGATGCACGACAATATCGGCACGTCATTGGTATCGGCCAATCAGCTTTTTTTTATTTGCAAAATGAATGAGTGTAATGTCAGTTGAAAGGTATTGTATTTCATGTCTCCATCTGCTGATGGGCCATCACAATAAGAATATGCACACATAATGTGATGCTAGATCACTAAAATTAGGTTGGTAAAGAAAGTGGATATATCAATATCAGTATCGTTATCAGTTAAATAGGTTGGTACATGATATGTGCTCCCATAAAAAGATATATTGATATATTGCCAAGCTCTCACTGTCACAATCACTTAGAGTATATGCAGCATGTAATGTTGGAGCTCAGAGTAACTTACCACACTGCCCCGTCCTGCCCAGGTACATCAGGCCGATACATCATGACATCCATCACAACAACAAAAAACAGTGTTAAATCCAAAGTCCGGTGCCAAAAGAAAAACGAACTTAACATAAAAAATCACGGTGTCCCACTACTGATTCCCGCAGTGTTGTTTTGTCCATACTCAGATGTAACCGGAAGTAACGTGATTGATCCGCTGA